ATATATATGTATATATATATATATATATCTATATATATATATATATATATATATATTAATAGAGTGCTGCAAGTCTGTATCTAGTGTCGCACAGATCCCAAATATAGATTCACCGCCACTCTGTCTCGTTATCATGGACAGATTCCAAATAACTTCAAAAGATGTTAACTTCATTCAAAACAGTGCCAGAGTGGTGTACGAGCAAGTTGTTTAATTAATTTGGTAACACAATGTATAGCTATACACATACATCCATGCTATTCTGCAGGTACACATATATATATATACTAATGCAGTGATGGGCAGCGGTGCGTGGTAATCGCTCACTATATCGCTACTGTCTTTTCTTCTGCTTTTTGTATTGTTTCATCTCGGAGTTGCTCAGGAAGTAGGCTGCCACTTGCTCTTCTTGTTCCTCCTGCATCATTGTATAAGAGAATGAGTGTACGTCAGGTATTGTTCTGGGTTTAGAGCATGGTGATAAACCAAATTTTTATCTTTCTAGTGCTCGGACTGTAGCGGCATACATGAGCGTCCTATTCAATGTACTATGCAAAACAAAAAAGCCGTTAAAGAAGAGTAACGACAAACAAACAGCTAATAATGCGTAGATGTCTAACTCGAGCGAGATTATTGCAGCATACATAATCAATCGAGCACAGCTGGCCATTCCCCGTAATAGAAAGAAAATTAAACGAGGCAAGGCCCCACTCGCACAGTTTTGCTTGATTCCAACTACACAGCTATGAATGCCTGTGCATATATACAACAAAATGCGCACATATGCATGAATACTATACGTCTTTCGCACATTCACGTATGCGATCCAGAACTCATCCGCGTTCATACATGTGCCGGTCAGTGTGCCGTTTATACTTGAATGCGGACCTCGAAGGATACCTACACACAATCGAATACATCGAAACTAAAACATCACAGGCACAGAGCCTCGCCCATACAAACATACCCTATAGGCCTTCCAATTCGCTTCGTTCCAAAGCTCTTTGGCAATAAGAGAATCTTTATAATCCTGATGAGAATACGGTTGTGAGAATGTATAGAAGCAGATTAGGCGCTGAAATAGACTAAAATGCCTGAATACAATCCTAGAATCAATGAGAACTAGACCCGCTATGCAGGTTGACTTGCAGTCGTACGTACGATCCGACAATCGCCTACAGCAAACACGTTATACTTCACGTACATGCCAGTCTACCTATGATCTACTGAAAATATTTACTCACATCTACATAACCTGACCAAATAAACACTCATATACATCACGTGCAAACGTCGAATACCACAATTATGAAGCCCCCACATACCTGGGTGTGACGTTCCCAGTTCTTTCGACTGATCAACATGCGCTTGCGCGTCATGTACTCCTGCTCATCGTCGTTGTATTCGCAGTCCATAACCCAATGCCGGATGAAGTACTTGACGGTGTGGTACACGAACAGGGGCAGCTTTACAATCCACACAAACAGACGCACCCATAGCACATCGTCCCACTCGTATCTGAGCGTGGCATTTGGGGTTTGGGATTTAGAAATTGAAAATGTTTGACATTTAGGGATTGGGATTCAGACCTAGTTTCGTGCTATTTAGGAGAGGCTACAATTTAGGGTTTAGAATGGCACAGGACATGCAGGGAAGGCAGATGTTAGATATCTGAATAACAACCAAATGCCTGGAATCGATCTTTTGCGGCTGCATAATCCAAAGCAATAAGGGAGAACGTTATAGCGCAGCGAGCTACTATCCATGTCAACTTACCAAAGTAGACAACGCGATATCAGGATTAATCTGGCAAACTTAGTGATAGGACAGAGGAGGTGGTAACATTCTATCTTCTGTAAGTGGTTAGGAAATGGGGTCGATAGTGTCCTACAAAGATACCCCAATAGGTCGCCAGTCGAATAATGTATAGATGTGAATATTGTACGCTCGTAGAGGTGTACATATAGTAGATTGAACACATGATATTAACCTCTCGAAATCAGAACCGCTAGTACCCCACATGCATTGGCAACCAGTGAATAAGGCTTAGAACTTTTAACCTTCAACCCCCAAAACACCCCAGCCCAGACAATAGCTGATGCCCAAGGGCGATCAATTGAACAAACATCAGCGAACGACACCTGTCTAGATTGGCCTCCAATCCGATGTCATCGGCGTATAAGTCATAGAGGACTTTTTTCTGTTCGTCTTTGGACACGGGTTTGCCCTTTTTGTTCCTCAGCAAAGCTCCGTGTCCTTCTCGCTCGGCCCTGCAGATCATTTCATTGTCGAAAGATTATTTACCCAGGTATACATGCAGTATATGCGTATCTTGGTACTATTATCCAACTATACCTAGGTGCCACACATAGCTATCATAAATACATCAACATATGTACCAAGCATGGTTCCGACCACATCAACCACACGCATATATAGATCGCATAGCAGATTTAGATATGTTGACATCTACATAGGATCTCTTGTGATCCCTTGTTCGACCTCGTCGTGCAATACGTATACGTAAGTATGATCAGCCAGTACAACTTACCTTGCACTCAGGTTGTGTCGGAGTTTATCATTGTCGAACAAAATCTCGTTAACACTGATCTCGAAACTCTGATTGATGAAGTAAAACTGTCCCAGAGAAATTACTGTCAGCAGTACGATGATAACAAATCCGACATCGATCTGTTTTGTGAGAGTAGTTATAGCAATTTCAGTGTAACTTATGGATTTCGTTGGTTTAATACGGAATTAAATGGTAAGCGAATCTCAAAAGTAGGGCTTGGGTTCAGAAGGACACCGAATATATATCTGGCACAAACTCGCGAACACGTACTGCACACGTAGACGCAAAGCCTACCTATAAATGGAACAAGTTACAGAGTATATGATGTGATAAAATCATGTATATAAAGATAAACCGACAAGTGATAAAATGGAGTTATCATACCGTCGTAGAAACACGTGGACGATGGTAGTACCACCAGGCATAGAAGAACTCATCGGGATTATCTAGTAGATGGTCGTATTCCTTTCGTTTGTCGTCGTCACGGATGGTTTCACAAGCTGTGTACGGCCAATGCGAGGGAGAAGATTGTTAGCAATTCAGAGAGAAGAATTACTGCAAAACTGATTAAAGTTGATAAATAGTGCTAGTCATCAGACTTAAAAATCTGTACAAAAAACTATCAGCGTGTATTGTTGCCTGCTAGCATGCCGGCAAGGATACCGAATGGTAGGTCTACCTTTCCGCAACGACTTAGAGTAGGAATATCGGACATTCATCTGTTTGTCCACGTCGAGCATTCGATAAAGCCATTACAATCAAATCAAAAAGTGCGAATGGCATTTCGTATGCACATGACGCAGCTATATTCTGAAGATATACCGCATACCAGGTAGAAGGCTACATATGAGCCTGTATGTATGCTAGTGAACCCCTGTTAGTAGATACAACTCACGACATTAAGATGTACTTGCGATTATATACGTGTAGCGTTAGGCCCTCCTTAATCGATACAAATAAGCTTACCAATACTGTACTTCTCCCAATCCTTCTCCAGCTTCGCTCGCAACTCTTTGTCGTGTTGTGCGGCCAGATTCTTATCGGGGTGGAACTCTCGGAGTTTATTTCTGCAGACCTTATTTAGCTGTATTAAATCAGAGGCCAAGTTTAGAACACGAGTTTACTTGACGTCCTGAGTACAACCCGATTCTTGTAAATTTAGCTGGCATTGAGCTCTCTGGTTTCTAGAGAGCAGACAAGTTAATGGGAATCTTCCGGCACATACATATATATTTCACCATAACTGAATACGCGGCTGCGTATGCATAGAAAGAACATGGACAAAATCATGTGCATGACATCAATATATCCCTAGTGCTCCATTGAATGCATGACAGAGATGCATCAAACAACAAGTAATACGCAATAAAAGTACACATCTGTATATGTCCGGATACGATCCAGCGCAATGTAAATTTAGCATGAAAGAGCATTTGGCATGAAATACAAACACAAACACGAGTATCGTAACGGATCATCTCATATATATATATATACATGTGTGTGTATGGTGGGGTGGGGGGGTGGGTGGTTATGTATCCGTGTGTGTGTGTGCGTGTATGTACATATGTATACG